TTTATCAGTTAGCTAGTATTTATCAGTTAGCGTGAATTTACCCATTAACTAGTATTTATCAGTTAGCTAGTATTTATCAGTTAGCGTGAATTTACCCATTAACTAGTATTTATCAGTTAGCTAGTATTTAGCACATAAAGCCAGAGAACGTCACCATGTTACATTTCTGACAAAGGAAGGAGGAGGATTTGGACGAGTTCAACAGAGAAGAAGAGGAGCGAGGCTGTGGTGGAGGAAGAGGCAGAAGAAGCTGAGGACAGATTCCAGTTTCCATCCCTCCATCATCACCAGGCAGCATTCAGGACCCACAACACGATGCTGATGGAGTTCCTCTCAGCCTGCCCTCCTTATCCCCACCCAGCATGTTTTCTCTGCATGGAGATGGAAATTATATGAAGACTGCGCTATAATTCCTACACACCGCAGTTTTCCTTAAGGACCTTGTCTTATGTTCCCATTTCTATTGTATTATTCTCTGCAGTGCTGCCTTTCCCTTTGTTTAGCACAATGTCTTGGTCTGTCAGCAAATGAAAGGATAAATGTGAATCTTGTCCGGTCTCTAACCATTGATCTCCCATAAGCATAATTTATGATCAAAACAGTATCCATAATTTACATTAGAACATTTTTGACTCAATGTTAAACTGACAACATGACTCAGCAGTTTGAGATATCATAAAATAATTGACAGATATTTAATTCTGAGAGGAACTCGGGATTTTGAGATAGAAACTGTTTTTTTTTCAAGTAACCTGTTCTCTTTTGCTGTTTGTATAAATTGCTTTGAGAAACGCTCTTCCTGCTGTGCGAAGATGACTGAAGGGTTAAGCAAACGCACTTAAAGAGGCCTTAGTCCTTGAAGCGACTGCCGCAGGTTTGATTCCCGGGCTGATCACCTTTGCCATGTCTTCCCCTGTCATTACTCACTTTTCTCAAATAAAAGCTGCCAGAGTCAATAAAACGTCTATAAAAAGTGGTTAAAGAAATGCAGCAAAGCCTTTTTTGAAAGCGTCCGTTTTTACAGGCCAAACTTTAAAATTAAAGATGGCAACTAATCAGGATTAAGTTCAGCACTATTGTGATTGATCTGATATAAGCTTTTAATGGATTGACAGTTTTATGTATAGAATTTTTCTTTCATTCTTTTTTGTTTTTGCACTATGAACCATTTTGGCAGCCTGGTCACACTGAGTTATTGCAGAGTGATGTATCAACAGTAGAATTTGCTAGGTAACAGGTATCCTCTGCCAGCAGAAACTCCTTCTGTTTAGAGCATAATAAAGGGTTGTTAAGGTAAATATTGTATACTGTCATGGTCTAATTTCTCTAATGTTATCCTGGAAACTTGCCAAACGGTTATGAGGTTGTTTAGTCCTACTTGTTATTATCAAGATGGGCAGCAACCATCTGTGTTAAGGTTGTGTGTTTGTATTTAAGGTTGTATTTGAACCTGAAGCATTACTAACAGGAGCGGCCTCTACTGCAGCAGTGAGCCATTGTTTTCCTTGGCAGAGATTAGCGGCCCCCAGGGGCCCGTGCCACAAAGAGGGCTCTGTTACTAACTAGAGGGCCTCATTGTTCCCTAAATTACCCCCATTGACAGGGTAGAAAGCAGCATGGCAGATATTGAGCATGCATAATGTCAGTGAACAAACTGACAGCTGCTTAGACCAGAAAATCCAGGCTGCCGGCTTCAACTACACAACTCATCTTGTTTTCACTGTCAGGAAGGATGTTGACTCAAACTCACAAATATCTTAAGGTGATGCCTTTGCGAACTCTTAAATGCAACACGTCAGTTTTTAGTCAGAATATTTATTTTCTCCACATTTTGCACATTTTAGTTTCCACTTTAATTGTTCCACTCCTGACTGCGTTCTGTCAGATGAAGGACTGATCTCATTCCCTGAGGTTTTCCTGAAAGCTTGTTCACCGTGTCTACAAACAGCAACAATTCTCTGTTATACAAGCAGGCCTGTCACTTGGCTTTTTGGCAACATTCAGGGACAGATTTTTAAACGTTCTGAGATGAAAAGGTTTGACTGACAAAGCTCGCTTCCTGTTAATGCAGAAGTTAATGTTTCAAGTTCCAGTTATTAGCTTCAGACTGTATAAGCCTTGGAGGTATTCACTGAAAATTAAATGAACAAGCCCATCACTCAGATAAGGATGCATGTATGTAAATATGATATGAGAGTGATGCCACCGCAGATCTTTTTTTACTAAGAAACAACAACGAATTGAAGACCTCAAAAGTTAAACAGATGAGGGAAAAACCTTCATACGTAGAAAGCTCTGCTAATATAAGATAATTCAACCTTTTTCCAGACAAACTAGCCTATTTCAAAAAGTCTGGTTTATTTTTATTTCACTAAGTGAGAAGTTTGAGAAGAGTGTGTGTACCTCCAACGGTCATTGAGGAGAAGGAAGCGTCCACCACCCTGGACAGGTTGCCAGGCCATGACAGGACAACATAGAGACACACAGGACAAATGACCTTAAGGACAAAATCAGAGAGAGCAGCAAACCTGAGGTCCAGTTTTTGGTCTGTGGGAGGAAGCCAGCGTTCAGTACGATTATTTTAAAGCCATCTTGTAAAAACAGGAAGGAAACTCACCCTGACTGTGGTGATCTGTGTTTTCTGTGTCTTTATTTTGAGGTTTTTCTGTTTATTAGTCTGTTCCCCTGTGAGTCTCTGTCTTCCCCGTTGATTGATCCCAGCTGTGTCTCGTTTCTTTGATTACCCTCCCAGTGTATTTAGTCCCACCTGTTGTCTTTGTCTCTGGTTGGATCCTCGTCTGTGTTCCTCATGTCATGTCTTGCTGCCCGTTGTTCTGTTGGACAAGCATTAAACCACCACCACCACCATCATCACCATCATCACCATCATCATCATCATCATCATCATGGCCTGCGTCTTCCCTCACCTCACCAAACCCACCACCTTGACACTGACAACACAAAGGTTATCGAGTTGCTCAGAGTATTTTAAAAGTAAATGAAGCTCAATGTTTTGGCTTTACTTTGTTACTACGGAAGTCAGAGTTCATTTAAAGGCTGCTGTTGGCCATGTTGCTTGTGCAACAGTCTGTCTTCGAAATTGATGATGACGATGATTATTATGAATTAACTTTAAGAGTGAACTCTGTTTGACTGTCATTTATACTCTCTATTTCCAGCAGGTTCCCTTGTTTGGAAATGTAAAACTCTGTAGTTTGGTTAAACAATGCAATAACTCCTCATAACAACCTACTTGAGGGATGAAAACATGACTTTCATAGCTGAGGTGACGAGGCTTCTCCTCATGTTGCTCATCTCTACCCAGTGTGAATCTTGGACTGTCTAACATACCAGGATGAAAGTCCATCATCTTCAACTAAGCCTCTAAAACTGGTTGCCTTCCCAGACAAGCTCACCTTCCCTCACAACATCTAATTGTGCATCAAACTATTGATGATGCTGAGTGCTGCGCTGGCATCAACTTCTATCTCCAAACCAACTCCAGGTCTCCTCTTCATCAACGGGGGACTGTGGCTGTGTGGGTATTAGCTGTCTTGCGATCGGAAGGTTGTAGGCTGGATGCCCTTGGCCAGGGCACTTGACCCCGAACTGCCTACCGATCTGCGTATCGGTGTGAATGGGTGAATGTGATTGTAGTGTAAAGCGCTTTGAGTGGTCAAAACTGATTGGAAAAGCACTATAAAAGTTCAGTCCATTTAACATTTCATCTATGATCAGTTTAATCTACTTCAAATCTTCATGCTGTGCTCAGAGTGAGAGACAGACTTACCAGGTCCAAGCAATGCATGAGTGCTTGGCATATCTCGCTGAGGTGCATGGTCAACAGAAAATATGGCGACGCACCTGACGCCCT